GAGACGAACGGTGAGCTTGCAATGATAGAGACCTTTTTTTTAACACCTTGGACAATTATTCACATGTCTCTATCATTGCAAGCTCACCGTTCGTCTCGCTTCGATGCAAAGGCACGGCTACCTTTCAATATGGCTTAGGAAACTGTGAAGGGGACTATTCTCTGAAAAAAAACTTCAACCCCCCCTCATTTTACTGGTAAGAAATTTTACGATCCTCCTTAAATTTCACTGGCCCCCCTCTGCCATACATTATGAACGCAGCCTTACTACTGGCCGTTTTATACAGCTGCTTGCATGCTTTTCTTTTGTTATTAATATCAAATATTAAATTGCAACGAAGCGATATAAATTGATTATAATTGACCACCATTGTTCCTTACTGGTCGGTCCTGGTCGGTTCTACGGGGTTTTCTTAACTTGTTTGTATTAATATTAATGATCAAAAGTACAATAGCACTATGACTGCATTAATTCCCGTGTGATAAGATATGGTTCGTCCATCACAGGTCAGTTGTGGGCGGTTTTACAGGTTACTTTCAGGAGCAGTAGCGTAAGCGTTAGGTATCCTAATGTCAAAACCCGGTGGTCTTGGAGACCTCCTCTCGTTGTTGTTCAAGGGTTTCATTTCTGCGCGACCACTGGTTGGGAGCGAGTTATGGTTACAGGATCTTCCATCAATATCGTCCCGAGAACTTTCTGCCATCTGTGAAAATAAGAAGAATCAGGCTGCGCTGTCCTTTTATAATTAGACGTGAATAGATTTACACTATAGCCTATCGATATTTCATATACCCTGGAAGACAAATAATTATCCACCCCAACGAGTTAATTAAATGAACTAAAACAAATGACGGTACAAAGGTTTATACCCTCAGAAGAGTAGATACAAACCTGTGATCTACCACTGCCCATCACATCTCTACATCTGTTTTCCACCAGTAACAAAGCTAGAGAGATAGCTGCTCCACCCCCTAGAATAATAAACACACCAGCCAGATGATGTAGGGCCAGCCTGGCTGGTTGCGAACTGGACGGGTCTTCGGGAGGACACTCACTACGATCATCCCACCAACGTAGTCGTAGCTTCTCCACTTCTCCTTCCTCGCGAAGCTGGATTGAATCACAAAATACCATCATCATCATCATCATCATCATCATCATCATCATCATCATCATCGTCCCCGTTCCCGTCCCCGTCCCGTCCCTTACCTTAAGTAATGTAACCGACAACCCTCCCCCCCCTTCCCCACTCTGTACGTCTCTCTCTAAGTGAAACTGATCCCTTACCTCAAGTAATGTAACCGACAACTCATTAGTCCATTCTGAGTTTTTCTGTAACCCCAAGGCATAACTTTTTGCATCGAGTAGATTCTTTACCAGCATAGTATTACACGGCTTGCGTTGGTTGTAGTAATCCAACGACGGCTGATCCGTTAAGTAAGCAAAGTTCCCTTCACGTGCTTTTTTCACTCCAAATCTCGTACTGTTTACGAATGTGTCCAAGGTCTTCATCATCCCGAACATCCTTTTGTAGGTACGAACTTTGGAGTTCTCAAAGAACGTGTACAAAGAGCCTCCTTTAAGAACACCAAATTGAACCTTGTCTTGTCCGATAAGATCCTCTAACGAGTTTATTGTTGACTTGGTATTCTTAGCTGTCGACAACAATAAAGAAAATTTATCGTTGATATGTTGGATTCTGATGCTATAGAGCTGCTGTGCCGTGCCGTGACCGTGAAGCTTGCCGTGACCGTGAAGCTTGCCGTGACCGTAATGCGTGCTGTGATCGTAACGCGTGTCATGTCCGTGACAAAAAAATGAAAGCTTTAGAGAAATTTGAAACTCAAATGATTGTAACACATTTTTCTTGTTCACAATAGCACCGTACAAATTACTATTTCCAGTGAATATAGATACCTGTAAAATACGCGGCAAGATTAGCTGTGTAGGTAGAAATCAGTATTAGAGTAAATAACCAAAAGGAAGCGGCCAGCACTCTCCCTGACCCTGACCTGGGTGTGGTATCTGCACCTTGTTGAAGGATCGACCCAGTAGCAAACCAGAGACTGTTCGACAGACTGAATTCACCACCATCCCCTTCACCTGTGTTCTTCGCGTCTGCGCGGTAACCGTAGGGGCTGAAGCGATCAAGGAACCACATGATGATGGTTACCGCACCCACCTAGACAACGAGGAATACTATGTTAATAGATGATAATGTTAGACTAAAATCATCATGGTGATGGTGGTGATGATTGTGCATGATGGTGGGGATGATGAGAATGATGTTGATGATGATGATGATGCTGATGATGAGTTTAATGATGTTGACAGGTAGTGATTATGATGTTGATGATCATAATGATGATGGTGGTGATGATTATCATGATGAATTTCATGATGGTGATGATGGTAATGATGTTGTCAGGTAATGATGATGATAATGCTTATGGTGATGATGATGGTGATGATGGCGATGATGATTATACATAGCTATATAACAATAACAATAGCATATTTTGGTTATGACACTTACGACTCCACAAACGCACAGCCACAACTGCTCCTCAAACGGTAAAAGAAAGGCGAACAGGTTCACCTCTTCGTCAGTTGGCTTTGTTAAAATCATCGCGATTCGAAAATCCAAGAAAGGTTTGCTAAAATCGATGACTTCTTCTCGTTCTGCTGTAATAGTTATTGGACCAACAGCTACATCAGCTTCCTAAGGGAAAACAAAAAATAAACCATTTATTTCAACGCAACGTAACATTAAATATCTATTTTCTTTGCAACCCCGTTGAGCTACGGCACTGCTCTGCACTTGCAGTCGTGAAAAGCTTTGACGCTTTTTTTCATGAGAATAAGATTATTTGAATAAACAAATATATGATACTCAAGGAAATGGCGAGCACCAAATGACAGTAATTACAGCGACACTACTTGTTTCGCACTTTTTTTTTAATTGGGATATCTCCTGCCCTATGGATCACGTGATGGGCGTGGCATAAACAAATTTCCCGCGATTTTCAAAAAGTGTCGAATTTAATTTGATTTTCAAACTACATTTACCTGATCAATCAGTTCTCTTATCAGCCCTTTCCACTCTCCTCCAACTGGAGAACCATAAGACGTCTCCCTGCTTTCCACGATTTTGTAATTAAACATCAGTTTGTCTGCCACCAGTTTGATTAGATCAGCTCCAAACCCCTCGAATCTGTCGTTACCTTTCAGGTTGGACGCGTTTTTCTTGAGCATCATGTAAGGAGAGTCCTGTTAACCAATTATATAATTATCAGTAGCATTCACGGAATCGTACAATTAGCCGCCGCGACGAAATAGGATTTTGGTGGACGTCAATCAAAGTGTTTCCATCACATTTGCCGTCGCGACAAAATAAGGTTTTGGTGGACGTCAATCAAAGTCATTCATTGAAGGAGTTAGATACCAAATGATGTGCCGTGCTGCTCCGTACCGTACTACAACATGCTGGGCCTCATGACTTTATCTTTTATATCTTTGCAGAATAACCTTTTATATTCAGAGGACACGGAAAAAAACCCTAGAATTATGGGAGAGATCCAACAAACTCACATGCCATGCCAAGTCTATCCAACAAGATCCAGAGGTGAGACGCGAGTGTACTACCACGACACCAATCTTGGTTCCCTGTCATATTGTTATTATGCGAGGCTTCTTATTAGATAAGAAGCATGGGATTTGATTTCCCTACATTAAAATAATAATGTTTCATTTGATTTGATTTCCTTACATTAAGATCATGGACGTAGGCCAAACCGAATTTATCGAATTTTCACTTTACCGAAATCCCTTTGAACAAAATATCATCAATATTGTAAGTTAAACTCTTCGTATCTTCTTACCAATATAGTAGTTATAACTAAAGGTTTACGATTGCGATTAAACTTTTGCCTTGCAGCAAGGCTTCTGAAGTCACAGCGGATTTCTTCCCAGTAAAAACCATTCCATAAAACTACATCGTTGTTTTTCAGGACCACGGAACCAACCACGGTATCTCTGTTTGCTTTCCAGTAACCGATCTGGAAAATAGGGATCGAAACAAGTAAGTAAATAAGTACCAGGTTTTTGAGGTATGTAAGGTTTCGTACCCGGGTAAATGGAGGTATTCCCTTAGTGGTACACATAGGGGTACCGGACATTTGAGTTATGTAAGGTTTCGTACCGGGGTAAATGGAAATATTCCCGTAGTGGTACATATAGGGGTACCGGGCATTTGATTTATTTAAGGTTTCGTACCGGGTAAATGGAGGTATACCCGTTATGGTTCATATAGGGGTACCGGGCTTGTGAGGTATGAAAGGTTTTGTACCGGGTAAATAGAGGTATTCCCGTAGTTGTACTTATAGGGGTACCGGGTTTTTGAGGTATGAAAGGTTTCTTACCGTGTAAATGGAACGATACTCTTAGTGTTACATATAGGAGTACCGGGTATAAGGTAAAGTATTCTTACCGGATACATAAAGGATGGCGGCATTCCTGTTTGAGCTTGTATGTTCATAATGTCGATCAGTTGCACTTCTCTGTCACGTGATTTAGGGTTGAACTTAACTGGTCCAGTAAGACCTTGGAACCGAACCTGAAACATCAGAAAAAAAGGAAAACAATTAAGCACTTCTGCAGAATACGCATTATTCAGTGGTTTCAAGGCAGCCATATTGCAGGACGGAACATTATGTTTTCGCATGACAAGAGATTTCATTTCCCAAAAGAAAAAATATGATCTTGATTACAGACTCATTTACTCAGGGTTAGCCTCGAATCAGTGTCAAAATATCACACATAAATACCAACAGTAAAGTAAAGAGTGCACAACTTGAATACAAACACTTTGAAATTCCACAGACCTTCACTGGAACACATGAATATTCTAGGCTAACCCTAAATCGAGGTTAACCCTGAGCAACAGAGAACTCGGTAGAACTCGGTAGAACTCAGAGAACAGAGAAGTTGCACCGCAGCAGCAACCAAAACAAGGTGTAATAAAGGTGGGAAGCTGACAAGAATTGCGCAGACACATAACGTCCTGGCGCTCTTTGGAAAAATAAATCAAAGGTAAATAACTATAAATAAATATCAATTACCATCATTAACTTATTGATAAACCAGCTTTGTCCTCTGTCGTCTGATCCAGTAGCTTCTTTGATCGGGCAGTCGTCTCCTTGAATGTAGTAGGGGATTTGCTTGATCTTGCGAATAGCTTCACTGACTGCATGTATGGAGTCGTTGAGGACTGCGAAGCTTGCCTACATAGGAACGACAGTGACTTCTAWTTAAATGTAAAGTACTAGTAATAGGGAATTGATCAGAGGACCAAATACTGTATAGGACGGAGGAGCGCGTATGGGAAAACGAAGGCACGAAACGAAGGCACCAAAAAAAAACATTGTACTGCAATTTTTGGTTGGATAATGATAATGTAATGATGATGATGATGATGTAAAGACGATGATATAATAAATGATGATGGTGCATGGTGATGATGTCAGGATGATGATGATGCAGTAATGACGATGGATGCATGATTCATATTATCTTATCAATTGTCCACTAACAGCACACTAACACTTACCATAGATATTCTTTTAGAGCGCGCTGATCTTGTTTGTCTTTCTGCTTCTCGTTTTAGTTTATGTTGATAGTCATAGTAAAGACGAAGCCCTACAAGGCCACGATACTCAAGAGCTGAGATATTACCAGTCAGYTCCTGTGGGAGGACATTGATATGGGTCACGGCATTGTGTATATGTATACCATAGAGTATAAGCTAATAGAATACTTACCATGTCAACTGCAATCCACTTAGAGTCTGAGTACACACAACCACTTTTCAAGGCCTGCAAAATGTGAGAATAACCTTAAGCACTACCATTATAAACACTAGTAGTAACGAAATTTTCAAATAAAGAAATCAACAAAAGGTATGATTGGGATATATAAAGATAATTGAGAACTATAAGAGCTAAAAGATTACTTGAGTTCATTAGAATTTCTCCGAGATTTTTGCTTCCCTTTCCTCTCCTCCTTTTCTCCCCTTTTCCTCCCCTTTCCTCCCCTTCCTTCTCTTTTCATTTCTTTTTTCGTTTCTTTCCTTTCTTTTTCTCCACTATTTCTCTATTTTCTTTTTCCTCCTCCTTCTATTCATTCACAAAAATACCTAAATTTTAGATAAGGATAAAAAATCTTTTGCTTTGTCATCAGTGTTTTTTTCTTAGTCAAGCAAAAAGAAAATTAGATTAAATTAAGTATAATACCCTCTCCAAAAGTTTGCTGATATTCTGCGGGTCGGCTACCAGTACGACAAACTTGATATTTGACCTCAGCAACACTGTCAGCCCTCTTTGCGTCTCTCTACCGTTATTCGAGTTCAGTAGAGGAATCATGATGGGTGTTACTCGATTCCGATATCGCGCGATGGAGAATATACGTGAAGTGAGATGGGCTCGTTTGACTGAAAAGATAAAAAATACTGCTGGTCACGCGAAAGTGATTGAATGGGACACCATGTCTAAATGAGTAGGTGGTAATTAATGCGCATGCTCAAAGAATGGTTATTTGTTTAAGGTTGGTAAACGTTTTTGTTGCATGTTGCATACCAACTCCAAAATGCACTATGGGTAATGCAAATGTAACCAGCGATAGGTCACAATCTAAACAAAAGGTAACCCAATGTTACAGTAAATATATAGCTACTTTAAGAAAAAGTAGGTGAAGGTTTTGTTTCATATTCCATACCAAGCACGAAATGTATAGTGGATTATATGTAAATATTGCAGTTCAAAAAAAAAAGTTTCCAAAAATACGGCGCAGACAAAATTTTGAAAAAATTCCAAAAATCCATAACAGATATTGTCTTAATGATTATACTTGCAGCTGATCTGAAATAGTGACGTAGAAATGACGTCACCGCAAAACTGATGAAGCCTGTGAAAAATGGCCAGCGAGACTAAATAAAAACATACCTGCCTGATTGCAATATAACTTTAAAACTCAATTATTATTGCGTCACTGTTATCAAGCGCGTATTAGCACCGTTATTTTTTTAGTTGGTGGTCTAGAAATCAATAATGTCAAAGGAAAAACGACACCTCAGTTTTGCAGATTTTCTCGATTCTCATTGGCTAATATTTTCTTTCAGATCAGCTGGTTCTAGTTGAAAGTCAAGCATACTAACCGTCTCCTACTATCGCTACTTTTCTATTATCCTTGAAGAAGTAATTCATAAGATCATTGGTGGCCAGAGCAAGGGTTTCATCAGATGGACGAAGCGAGAAGATATAACGGTTACGGATGTCAGTCTTGATGGTCTCGAGGCTGATCATTGGGGTGCGAAGCAGCTCCGCTAATGCGTAGGTTTTTTCATCGTTGAAGGACAGGTCGAAGACGCAGGTCGAAGAGCGGAGACTTTTGGTTGATTCTATGAAAAAATAGAGGCATATATGGAACGAGTGATAATGAAGAATGACGATAAAAGAAGAATTTTGTTAACAAACTAACAAAAATCAAAAATAGTGAAAGAACTAAATAGGATGAAATTAAGGAAAATATCGATCTAATTACACCATAGGAGTGTGTTTTGTAGATGTTTTGATTAAATTGGCATTCATAAATTTTTTATTTATGGTAAAAAAAAAAAAAAAAAAAAAAAAAAAAAAAAAAAAAAAAAAAAAAAAAAAANAAAAAAAAAAAAAAAAAAAAAAAAGAAAGAAAGAAAAAGAAATACATGAAATATAAATGTATTCACTCAATAACGTTTTCCTCTAAGTCAAAGCAATCTTCTATAGCTACAATATTATATTTGGCATCCGCTGACCATCAAAACGTGCCGGCTCAGAAGCGGCAATCGTCCTGACATGCGCATTACTGAAAATGAAGGATATTTTTTCCTAGAAATATTTTCTAATTCTAAACAAGGGTCAATGAATCTGCCATTTTAAAATCGCTATTATTTTTTTATGCAGGATTTTAAGAGGACCCAATGTAGAACACTGTGGAACCCCTTCATAACTTACCATAACTCAGTATATTCTCGCCGCCGTATGTCTTGAAACTGACCACCTCAATTTGTTGAGGTAAATTCTGTTTGTTGAGGCGATCAATTGCTTGTTTAAAGGCTGTAAAGAGAAGCTCATCCTTTGGATGGTAAATAACACCTAAAACATTGAAGCAATCAAGTGTTAAGTTGGGATATTGAAATCTTGAAATAGCGAGTCTGATAGTTATTTTAAAACAATAAATGTTACGAAAACAATTACTACTGAGCAGACTGATCATCTCAAAGCCACCTTTATTAAGAAGAATGTAATTCAGTTCTTCAAGCGAAAATACAACTATTTCACAAAAGAATAAGACGCTTCAAGCTTAAATGCTGTTTATCTAATTAAGATTAAAAATCTAAAGTTGATTTTGAATGTTTTTTATGTGACATTTTYAAACTAAAATGCACCTGTACGTAATACAAACACGTAGCTAAAATATTGCTTTAAGCACCAAACAACTAAGCTCATTAAGCACTGAGTTTTAACTAAAATGTTAAAATATGTTTATAGCACTGGATCTAAGGGATTGTTCCAGCCATATTGATAAGCTTTTTATGCTGTTAAAAGTTCACAAATTGATGAAATCAAAAAATAAACTTACCAAGGACTGGCTGCCATTCTCGCAGAGCTGCCACAGAATTCGGTAGAAAAAAAAGTATAATTAAACAAGACCTTAGTAAAATCGTGGTAGGATTTTTAGCCATTTTCAGCTGTTACACTGCTTAAGATATAAAAGCAGTACTGATTTAAACCACCTGTCTTGGTAACATGGTACCAGAAACAGATGCGAGAAAGCGAGGGGCGGAAAAGCTGAATATCGACGTTGTTGGCTTAATCAACATCAGAGTTCTGAAGATAACGTCTTCGGCTCTTTGACTGAATTTGTTAAAGAATTTACATTTCGCTGGTGATCTCTTAATCTTCAATTTAGTTTGTTTCATTTTGGCCAATGAGTGAAGATTGTGGGCTATCTGGCTCATTTTTATCATTATTTGAAGAATTATCAGTATAACGTGATGTAGAAAATCGTGCCAGACACTCGATTATACGACGAAAATCAGTAAATTTATTCCAAAAATGATACTCAAGGTAAAACATTTCACAGCCAAACTATTTGCGTTTATTTATCATTTTAGTCCGAATTTGTAAGTCAAACTGTCTTTGTAAGTCTTTTTAGGAATCATTCAGAATATCAATAAAACACGCAACTCCTTTTTGACGCTCATCAATAATACAATGATTTATGTTTTCAAAATAAACGAAAAATAACTTTTTGTCGGGGTGTTAAAGAATTTAACTAATATATTCATTTCTTAGTCTTTTTGTTGGGATCTTGCAGGGTATAAGAAATATATCGCCACAATTTTCGCCGTGGTTACTGGATACATCAATATTTCCAACATCCTCGACAGTCAACAACGATTTTAGCACCAGTATTTTAGTGCTTATTCTTAAATACTGGGTAAAATGAATCCTTTTCCATTCTCAAATCAGTTTTCAACTCTTCATGATTAATTAACGAATAAAATGTCTTCATATATGTTTCACGCACGGCCAAAGAAAGAAAAGAGGGATTGATACAAAAAAAAAAAAACAAAAACAAAAAACAAACAAAACAGGAGTAATTCAAATGTCCTTTTCGTTGTTCATTTGTACGTTATTTCCTAAAAGCTCTTCTTTTTTCCTTTCTAAGTTTAATATAGAATATAGTTTCGTGTGGTGTGAAATTTTACATAAATAAAAAATAAAACGAACAATATCGATTTGATCTTTGGATTCTCTGGATCAATGAATCACGTCCAAACGACTGTACGTAATCACTTTTCTGTTTCGTAAGGATTTGTAATATGGTCATGTCGGTATAAAATGTTCTATTTGAAAGGTTATTRATCTTTTCCTTACGGCATCAACCGATCTTCTGCTTAATCTCGTTAGTTGACCAAGAGAACTGACAATCTTTAGTAAGAACTTAAAGTTATAAGTAAGAATTATCCTATTTGAAATCTTACTTAACACCTAAAAAGATGCCTCAGTACGTAGATCAGTTAAAAGCGATTACTGCAGTGGTTAACTTTAGGGTCAATTTAAAGTCATTACAAATATGCTGCGCAGACTAAAGAGAAGTATCACGAAAAAAAACCCTCGAAACCTTGCATTAAATGCAAGACTCGAAGAAATACTCTTTAAATATGACTAAACCTGGGGTCACTTTTGCACACAAAATCTTTTTGAATCGGTCTGGAATATCGTGTTAGAGGAATTCAAATTCACCTGCATGTACGTGCATGGTCAAGCATAGTAGGGGTAACCAGTTAGTTCATCTTATTCATCTAACTGCACTCTACTGTGAATAAATATAGTTATTTAAAATCAATCGGGAACGGAATGGGAGGTTATTCTAGCTGCTGTGAACATAAGAATGAAAATTACTGATGAAATTCATCATCAGATACATTTGGATGGGAGGTCGTCATTCTTGTCACGCTAATCTAAATTTAAGAAGAATTTTTCTTAACCTCGATGAGAAGTTGAAAAGAAGGAGTGATAACTGATGTCAACCTACAAACAAAGTTCTACAGTTGAAAGGGAGCCCATGTTCTGTCCGACCGTATGCCTGAAATATGTGACAGTCACAGAGATGGTTTTTTACTTCAACTAGAATCAATTAAGTCCATGCGTATAAAGACTGAGAGATTATTTCTACATACATGGTGGATCTATTCATGACCTGATCTTTGATAAGCCCAGATGGTTTGATCAAACTGAAGGTTTCTTTACAATGATTTCCCAGTGTTCTGATTGGCTCTACATCCTATATTGTGAGGGATTCACCTTCTAGAGGAAGGACGAACTTGTCTTTGTTGGTAACACTGGCAGCGACTTTGAAAGTCAAATGGTTAAACTAAAGTACCTGTTCCCTATATGGATAAATGGTTTGAAATCGTCCCTAAAAGAATGAAATTACAAACCGCGACATGACGGCCATGTTGGTTTTTGTAATAGAGTCATTACACGCATTGTTTTGTAAACTTTAACTTTAAAGCCTAGAATCACTACGCGTTTTCAAGGTATCTTTTGACGTGTGGTAAAAATAGAGTTACAATTATGGTTTTTAGTGCAAAAAAAGTATTCAAAACCCGTGAGAACGCCTACGTAAGAGGCTATTCTTAACTGAACTGGCGCATTTGTCTACGTCCATCCCGACCTTTCCCTCATTAAACTCACCACAATATATCAATAGATCTCTAGAACACTAGGCCGTCCGCATGTGGGAAGATGACACAGCCGTGGCACTAATTCTAATTAGATCAGTTTACACAGTAATAAGAATAATTAGAAGACAAAATCAAGTCTAGCTGACAAACTCAACTATTATTTTAGTTTATTATATATCCATCTTTGATTATCGTTGCAAACTGACAGGGCTTTAGATATTTTATTTGTTTTAAGATATTTTTATTGATTGAGTGAGTCTTTCTTTAAAGTATTACATGGATTGCTTTTATGTCTCTAGCGAGACGGACGATTTTCTAATTACTTTTATAATCAAAAATTTAAGATATTATTCTATTTGCTTTTTTATTTATTTTTGAAGATGTTTATTTTCTTAATCAAATCAGTAAAAAGTATTTCAAAGGACGTACTGACTTACAGCAGTTTAAAACTTATATGCATTTATGGAAAGTGGAAAACTTACCACCTCAGCGACTTCCAAAACAAACAAATCACAAAGCAAGAAAAATTCTCATTTTTTAGCCAATCAGAAAGCTAGAAAAATCATCATTTTTAAACTATGCACAGCACGATGTTGTAAGTTTCCCACTCAATTTATCAAATTTAAGAGAATCAAACCTAATTAATTTTACCTTTGACACAATGTTCATTATATTCAGTCACCATGGTGTAATATATCAGGCACGCACACATGAACCACACGATCCGTGGTCATTCCATAGTACTAGTTTAAATAGCTCATGCAAAATGTTTAAATACGCCTTAACTCTCTTTCTCTCTCCTGTGATCCGACAGACACAGCCTTTTTTATCGAATATTGAAAAATCTTTAACGCTTTTGTTAACCGTAAACTTAAGATCATTAGTATCACATTAACTTTGAATACTATTTTATTACTGAACTTATGATTTACATGGTTTTAGTCTAGGGGGGTGATCAAAAACATCCTGTTTTTTCCCTCCCCCTCCCCCTCGGTAAATATTCAGCGGTATTCACTTCACTGCAAATACTGGTTAAATGATACGATAAACTAGAGTTTACTTTCTTGTGTTCTGGCGTAGCCTTCCGGTAAGTTAAGATAGTTTGGTCGCTTTGGTACAAGATGCTGCCCAGGAAGCTGTTCATTTGAATCATTGTCGTATTCTTCCTCGTCTGTTAAACACTAAAAACAAAAACAAAACAAAAAACATTTTTTAAACGGCAAAAAACGAAAAAACATTTCAACGAAACAATCATACCTCATATCCACCGAACAAACCAAGCCCTCCACCCAGAGGGTTCCTCCTCCTGAGAAGGAGCAGGCTGTTCCTGGAGTACCACTGGCTTCAGCTGCTTCGGTCCTTGCGACACTACAACCCGTACAGGTATCTGACTGGCATCGATACTTTCTCGACAAACCTCGTTGGGTTTGATAGTTTGTGACCGAGAAACTTTCCTGCTGCTTCCCTTGGAGCACAAGAATGAATTTCAGTACAAACCTTGACCAACATCTAAGGTGACTCGCGCGGTAAACCAAGAAAATTAACGAGTCAAAGATTTCAATTAATGAAAGCCAACAAGGGGCAAGGGAGAGAGGCCGGGGTACCAATCAACATTTTCTGATGCACTTACTGCCTTAAATCCCAATCGCGGTTGGCCAAGTTTTATGCTAAAACTTATCCCCAGCATAGCAACCTCGGACAGTGGTACCCAGGCCACTCCTAAATGTATTAAATGACGTCATAAAACAATAAATGACGTCATCACACATTAAAGGCCGAGAAGGATTGTGGTAGTTGTGATTACGTAACGTCGATTTGATTTACCTGGTTTTTGGTCAACATGTTGACAATCCTCTTACATTTTATCTCTATGACAACGAATAGGAAAGAAAAAGCGACGCCACCAAGAAGAATGATAAAGACACCCGCCATGTTTTGGATTCCAAGACTTGTGGTTGATTCTGGTTTTGCATCCTTCTTGCCGGCACACTCGCTACGTTCGTCCCACCATTTGGCACGTGTCTTTTCTATAAAACCATTCTCTCGAAGCTGTAACATGAAAATAATATTATGGTATTACACACAGTTCTCATTAACACTCTTCACTTTCTTTCTCTTCCCTTCCAATCAGTTCCATTCCGTTCCGTTCCGTTCCGTTCTTTTCTCTTCCCTTCCTATTCCTTCCCTTCTTTTTTGTTCTGTTTCTACTGCTTTTTGCGTAAGAGTATTCAATTTGATTTCCCATAAACGTACATAAGAAAGGCAAAGTTCATTATTTATGATCGCAAGTGAAAATACAAGTGACTTAATTAATCCTTTCAGTTTATACATACATCTAATATAGCCACAGACAGCTCGTTTACGTACGGTGAGTTTCTCTGTAATCCAAAGCCATAGCTCTTGGCCGTCAGTAGGTTTTCAAGCAACATAGTATTACAAGGTTTTTTTTGGTTGTAGTAGTCGAGGTAAGGCTGCTCAGTCAGGTATGCGTATCCTCCTGCTCTGGCTTTAGCCACACCTTCCTTGGTACTGGATACGAAGCTGTTTTGTTGTCTCATTTGAGAAAACATCTGTCGATACAGAGATACTTGGGAGCTCTCGAAGAAAGCTTTCATAGCTCCACTGTTTAGGACACCATATTTAATCTTGTCTTGTTTGACTAGATCTTGAAGCGAGTTGATCGATCTTTTGGACTGTTTAACTGGAATTATCGAAAAATGAGCATCAATTGGAAAAGGCCATAATAGCATCAACAACAAAAAATAATGGTCGTTTATAGGCAGAGATGTAAGTTTTATTGAAATACGTTGTCAATCGCAAAAAAAAAAAAAAAAAAAAAAAAGCATAGCACACGTGCACCATCGTACCGTGAGTATGGAGTACCTCGCATACTATCTTGGGGAACTTAATTACAAATAACAAGTACAAAAAACTTTGGTTTTCAAGCGTTGTTATTTTGCTGGAGTGCCTCAGGTATCATTTTGGGACCTTTTTCTGATTAATCGTTTTTGTTCCGGCAAAATTGAATGTCTAAATTAGGTTGAACAAGTACGTTATCAAAGTCATATTGTTACAGGCCCAGGGTCTTACTGTCACATTATCCAGGAGTGCCACAGAGCTACATATTGGGACCTTTGTATTTCACAGTATAAACATTATACTTACTGGTAAAGAAAGCAGCTAGGTTAGCCGTATACGTAGAAATAATAATCAAGATAAAGAACCAAAACGCAGCAGCTAAGATTCTCCCGGACGGCGATTTTGGAGTATTGTCACCACCTTGTTGTAACATGGAAGCTGTAGCAAACCAAAGGCTGTTGAACAAGTTAAACTCGTCACCGGCTCCTTCTCCTGTTTCCCTGGCTTCAGCTCTGTGCCCAAATGGACTGAACAGATCTACAGCGTACATCATAACTGTCACGAAAAGGACCTTTGAAAAACAAAAAAGGACAACAAGACTCAGCAAACACATATATAAAGTGCTCGAAGGTGCTTTACCCCCTCACACTATCAGTGCTCCTTATTATTGGTATTGCTTGGTGGGTTTAATTACACATTGCCATCGTAATACTAATGTGCCTACTAGATATTAGTTCATCGAACGTGCACCGCAGGGTTTTTTAAATCATGAGATACTAGACTCCATGGGACAGGGTTTTTCGCAGGCACTACAGACCTTTATCATCAAGATTACCGCTAAACGYTTGGGATCAGGTACAGAAACAGGCTTGCAAACACAGAGAAACACTCAGTATCAATGAAATTCAATATGGCGGCTCTTCCAGCAACAACTTCGTTATGACGCCTTGCTAAATGTCAAAAGTTTGACGGAAAACGCCTGATGTGAAACTGCAGTTTGAGGTTTGCGTAACCTAAAAGAACGTCGTGCTAAAGGTCTGTATATTTCCCTACTTACAACACCGATGGTAAGAAGCCAAACAAGGCCGTCAAATGGTTTGACAAATGCAAACAACTGAACCTCGTCTTCTGTTTCTTTCTGCATGATCAAACTCATGCTAAAGTCCCAGAATGGCTTGCTAAAATCAATCAGCTGTTCTCTCTCGGAGGTTATGGTGATTGGAGCAAGTGCAAGATCTGCTTTCTACACAAGAAAAAATATTTGTTAATAAACAGAAGATTGACATCTCTTTCCCCCCCCCCCTCCCCCCTCCAGAAAAAAGACTACATTGTTTCAGTAAGACTTCAAGTGAGTATAGGGGGCTATTTCAAGGTTCAATCTGTGAGTTAGCAGTGCCCTGACTTAGATTAGTCCAGAGGTTGTTTCAGGATTCAATCTATGAGTTAGCCGTGCCCTGACTTAGATCAGCCCAGAGGTTGTCCAAGGTTCAATCTGTGAGTTGCCGTGCCCTGACTTAGATCAGTCCAGAGGTTGATTCAGGGTTCAATCTGTGACTTAGCCATGCCCTGACTTTAGATCAGCCCAGATATTTCTATGTTCATACCTTCTCGATGAGGTCACCGAGCATCCCAGTCCACTTGCCATCCACTTTGCGCGCGTAAGTAGTATCTTTTCTGAGTAAGATCTTGTAATCAAAACCAACAGTTCTGGAGAGTTCGTTGAGTATGTCCAAGCAGAACCCCTGCAGACTGCTGTTGGAAACTGGTCGTGTTTCTATGCTACCGTTGCTCCACTCAAGAAATGGAGGCTCCTGGAAATAGATGATGGAAAAGAAAGATTGATTAGTGGGATGGGAAGAAAAAATGTATAAATGAACAAAGGAACGGAGAAGGAAGGAAGGAAGGAAGGAAAGAAGGAAGGAAGGAAGAAAGGAAGGATAGAAGTAAGCAATTAAGCGATGAAGCAAGGCAAGAAAGAAGGAACGAATGAAAGAAAAGATCGAGGGGGGAGGGAATGATGAACGACAGGAAGGAAAAAGGAGAGAGAGGTTTTGTAACAAAACGTACAATAACGGCGGTGATCCTAAACACTTTACGTTGCTTGGTGAACCTCTTCCCCGGTTTTCCTGGATTATGACATTTCACCAACTCAGCAAAATCACCCAACCACATGATTGGGTTAACATTCTTCATCGTGATTGGGTCTTGGTTGTTTTTGGGATTCGGTTTCCACGAGCCAACCTGTGAACACCAGAGACAAAATCAATAACCAATCAATCTGCCAATCCCCGTGTGCTTTATAACTGCACACAGCACGCGCGCGCGTTTTCTATTTCTTCATTGGTGTATGTCGCAAAAACATGAAATGGTATAATAATGAATATTAAAAAAAATATGAGTAAATTTTGTAACAACAATGCAGATAGATTTAACAACTTATGGTAGTAACCTTCTCGACGCCATCTTCTGCAATGTTAAGTATGTCGAGTGCTCTCTTGGAGGTCCGCTTGCCATTACTATCGAAACTGACTCGTCCGGTGAGGCCATGATGGGTTATCTAATAAAATAATAAAGTATTTCATAGTTAGGATAGTACGCACGCGCTGATTGGTCGAAAACTGTGCTTTGTTAGTGAACGGAGCACAGTGCTGAGGCCATCTGCGCGCGCGAGGTTCTGCTAGATCCTGCGACCGTCTTTCTTTTTGCGTAAATAAATTCAATACCGAAATAAAATTAGCTATATATAAATTGACTATATAATAAAACGAATAAGACAGCTTTTTCCGTGGTCCATTCAGTAATAAAGCACTACGGCTCGTGCTTCTCCTTACACTTCTTTCGTGTTTACGCCACTTCCTGCGTGCTTTATTACTGAACGGAGCACGGAAAAGATGTTTTATTTGTTAAATACAACACTCTACTTCTCTCCGTGGATTGGGGTACGGATACGGGTCTTAGAACAATTTTCGGTGAATTTGCGTTGATTTGACCCCGTACGACAACCATGATCCTTTGCGTTTAAACAATACATTGTTTTGATGTGACGTCATAATGAAATAAGGCTATTCATTCTCGCGTACGATTGGTCAGAACACGATGTTTAACATTCTAGACATATTTTAGGTGTTCACAGTTTTCACATTTTGATTGTAAGATACTTCATAACCCAAAGGAGGTACATTGTACTATCTTGCCCTATAACATGGCTTCCATGAAATCCCTCTAACATTTAACAAACAAACCCAGCGCTTCACCCACCGTTTGCAGCTTTTCAAGTAACTTGGGACCAACAAGACTAGGTTTGGTTTTGAGGGGGCAACTGTCGGTTGAAGTGCTAGGATAGATGTTCTGCCAAATCCCTACTGTTATATAACTTCGTATGACTCTGGTTAACATGTGAAGAGAATCATTCATTGCAGCGTATACAACCTAGTAAATGAAACAAAAATAGAAGGTCATTCATTCCTAGTCCTAGTCGTACTGTTGCCGCATCGTATTCATGTTACCGTAACCGTAAATAAACGTGTGATTGGATCATTGTTAACACCAAAACGTTTGCGCGCAAACAGGCGTGCTGTGACCGTGATAGCGGGCATATGACTTACACTGGTTGGATGACCAGTAGTTTTGCGCGCAGCTATTGTTTTAGCGTAACTGATAACGTCTACTCCGTACCATGACGGTGCTGTTTGCTGTTTGCCGGTGGGAACATTAAACCACAATGGTTGGATGACCAGTGGTTTTGCGCGCAGCTATTGTTTTAGCGTAACTTATGACGTCTACCGTGACGGTGCTTTGCCGTGACGGTGGGATCAATGAACCACAATGATTGGATGACCAGTAGTTTTGCACGTAGCTATTCTATTTTCATGTAACAAATGATATCTGATTTCGTACCGTTAGCGTTACCATGCGTGCCGTGCCGTGCAGTGGCGCACCGTTTCACAGTCGCAGAAAAATATGCACTCAATAAACTTTTAATAACACGAAGTAGATAGGGTCATTACCGGCGATAATGGCACGCCGCCGCCTCCAACACTCGAAGATATCATCTCCAATTGTCTTGCAGCATCTTCGCTGGATAAATGAAGACTGAGTCCAACCATTCCAAGTATGGATGGATACGTCTTGTTGGGACCGGCTACCTCCTGTGAATCCAGAACACAAGCAGTGAGTTACTTGACAAATCAAGTGCACTTGCCTCTCATCTCTGGGGTTTCAGGTTCAATTCCTGGACACGGAATCATATATGAGTAGAGTTTGCTGGGGTTTGAGTTTTCTCCAGGTTCTCCGGTTTTTCTCTGCTCTATTCATAAAATCTAACATGCTAAATCGTCGTTGTTTCGTCCTTGTATTTCACAAACCTATGGCTTTCGTCTCATGATCCAATTGGAATTTAGAAGCTTAGTTTTTCGGAGAGAGAAAAGCCAGAAAATCCGGAAAAGAAAAAAACCTACTTGATGCGTTGCTTACATACGACAACGCGGTGTCCGGGAATCAAACCTGGGTCGCATTGGTGAGATGCGAGCTCTAGTTCACCCACTACGCGTGTATTTGCTGTCATGTATTTCGTGACTACGGATAAGAAATTCGCTCCATTGATAATCAACTTACCACGTCTGACGAAAACCACTTATAGTCCTGGTCATTTATTCCAACGCGCAATACCTAAAAAAAATAAAACCAAAAAAACTTAGAAAATAGAAACAGCTATTTTAGTCCACGTGCATATCAATCCCTAGTGTCATTCTTAAAAATATATWTTTTTAAGAGAATGTTGGCACGTGGTGTTAGTATAGGAAATCGCACAATCTTGAGTACAATTTGGAAATTAATAGACACGAGTAATGTTTTGAAAGTTCTTGTAATTGCACGAGCCTWWAGGCKMGTGCAATAAAACGACTTTCAAAACATTACGAGTGTTTATTAAATCCAAATTGTACGAGAAGATCGTGCGATTTTTTGTTTATAGTTCACTCAACAAAATTTCAGTAAAAAATG